CTGCAGCTCACTTTTGCTGACCTCTTCTTGGTTTTGCTCTTCTTTCCACCGCCCCCTGTCCTGCTCTTCAGAGCTGGCTCAAGCGTGGGCAGTGGTGCTTTACACGAATTCTGAAAGATGTGGCGAAAACGACGACTAGCGGGTGTCCATTTAAGTTGCATACTAGCAAGAGCACTGACAAACCGTCATTCACATACGTCCGAGCGGTTTTGGCATTTTGCCAACGACCGTATAAAAGTAAACGATCTAGAGTGCCCCATTTCCTAAACCAATACGTCGCCCCGCCTCTTCGAAGCGAGTATGGTCTAAAATCGTGACCCTCAAATCCTACGGCTTTCAACGTGTCGTTGAACTGTTTGCGCCAGTGTGCAGGTGTGGAACACAAAGGGTGATGATCGGGACATGAGTGACTCCAAGCCCAAAGCCAACGGATGGGTTGTTCAGCGGTCAAAGCAACACTCTCCGCGGCTCCTTGCCGCTGTCCTCCTTTGGTCATTCCTAGTGAAATCACGCCGGGTCCCCGCTCGGATTCTACAGAAATGTGGCTGGAGTTCAGACCGAGGATCTCTCCCGTTCGCAGGACTCCGAAGTATCCCACGAGGAGAGATATGGCAAACTGGTATTCCCGTTTAAAAATTGAGTAACCGACCATGGCCTGTAGTGCCTCTTCTAAGTGGTGGGGCCCGACATGGGACTTCGTTGATGCTGCAAGCCTTCAGCAACCTCCATGTAGCTGGGAGCTGCTTTCGCACATTGGGTTGCGCGTCCTGTAGTCCAGCGACCGTATCTGCAGCGAGAGCGCGACCGAAACCTTCGCTCCACAAATGCTCAACGTAGTTGCATAGGAGTCTGTCAAGTTCATAAGGACCAGACGGGAAACGCACGCCTTCCACACGCAGAAACGACCAGAACTGTTCCATAGCTTTCTCATAGCGCTCACGAGTTTTTGGTTGAACTGAAAGTGACTGCAAGGTTCCTAACTCTGCTCTCCTCCTCTTTCTTTCCTCTTGTGTGCACCCTTCAACGTGCTGCCTTTTCACTTTAGCCATTTTTTACGAGCTGGGCGCCGACTTGGCTTGTCGGCGGGGTTTTGCTCCGTATGGACATAAGTCCATATGCCATGACTACCGGACGCCAACAAGAGGGCGTTGATTCGAAGGAGAGTTTGGCGAAGTTTCCGGCTGCTAGACCGGCCCCGTGCCAAGGCATGCAAGCACACCTGAGAGTCAACCAAATGCAAAAATCTCGTGTTCAACCAACCTTTGCGGGCAAACCTCCACTTCAACGCCGTGAGGACTGCACGCAACTCTAGCCCATTGATGTGCTCCTTGTCGCCACGCCAACGCCAACCACAAATAGTCCGCCAACGCCACAGGTTGGAGGGGATGCTAGCCCGAAGGCGATGCGTTCGTTGGACGTCCTCCGACGGTGCTTGAAGAAGTAGGTCTTCACCCTTTCCACTAACAAGTCCGCTCAACTTGCGAATCAAAGCGTCCTGGACTGGTGCCAAAGGCGTACAAGGAACACGCATAAAAGGCCGCAACAGAAATCCCTGAAGAACACTGCCACCTCCTGGTTTGCACTGCCTCATGAGGTCACTCAAACTCATCTTGTTGCACAAGCCACGGGGCACACCGAGACAATACAGAAGCCAGGCAATGATGAAAACGCACCACGAGTTTCCAACAAGGCTGAGTCGCTCATCAACCCACTGACTCCCACGCTGCTTGGACTTGGGGAGACAGTTCATAGTGTATCCACGGGGAAATCCCATGAGCACCTCCCGTTCTTCGATGTCCGGGAGACGAACTGTACCGTGTCGGTCTTGCACACACAGTGGAGTACGGTATTGGTAAGGTGGGAATCTGAACTGATCACGCTCCCATCGCTGAAGCTCTTCGGAGTTGCATTGGTGTACTCCGGCAGGTCGCCGCCCAGCAGTTGTCCTTGGCCGGCTTGTGGTAAAAGTGGGAAAGAGCTCATTACTGCACCTTTTGCATCCCGGCGCCAGGAACTCGTCAATGGAATAGTCGCTTTGTAACGTAACCTCCGTGACCTGAGCCCAACCCTGCCCTTTGACCGAGGAGATGGGAGATCCATTTCCATCCTCCAACTTGCACGTAGGCCAGTACAGGCGGGGTCGTCGGCATCCGGTCACTCCGGAGGCGTCGAGGAGTACTGGAGTACTCCCAGCTGACTGACTCATAACCACGCGGTCCTCCTCATCCATAGAAGCGACTGATTCCATGAGCCTATGCACTTGGGCCCATGGAAAGCATTCCTGTACCAAGTTGGTGATGCGCTCCACATGAGGGAATAGTCCACTGCGGTGATCTTTGAGAGCTCCTCGACGGTCTGCATTTAGGCCAGATACTCCTTGACACGGAGGTCCAGCCCCTACCACAACCAAGCTGACTTGACTGAACTGGCACGCCCAGCTCTTGACCATGTCCCCTGTAACTGCCGCTACATCGTCCGCAAAGAGTGTGCCCGGAAAACGACTCTCGACAACCCGCCTAGCAGGCTCATGGCTTTCAACTGAAATATGTCTAATCACCGTCAACCCTACGGCATCCGCGGCTACCCGGAGCCCACCTATTCCATCAAACAACCCGATGGTGAGGACGGTCGCCACCTCGTCCAATTCAGGCACGTCTCCTCGAACTGGAAGGTTCGCTGCAATAACTCCTACCTGAGTCAGACCCGAGGAGGCTGTGACACCTCCCCCCAAGGTCGATGCATCAGACGCAGTCGCTGTACCAGACAGCCCCATCCGAAAGTCCATACGCGCCAACGGAACCAGCAAGCAGAAACGGGCAAGCTCACTGCGAACACCCGGAGGGATGGTCTGCACAAAAGGGCCGTCCACAAAGCTCTGGATGAAGGTCCACACATGGTTCAACGCCCCAAGCAACGGTCTACGGAAAGTACAACAAAGCCACCTGCCACAACCTGGGCCTGGCGCTGAGTGCACCTGCCCTGGTCCAACAAAAGTTGACAAAGCTGTATGTACTTGCCTATCTTCTCTGCCTTTGGGGACGCAAAACCTGTGCGACCATCAATCTCTGCTCCTTGAACCTCTGCAAACGCCTTGGGGTGGCGTGGTACATGTCTCCTAGCATAGACCTCCTGCAGTGCTTCCACAAAATCTGAAGTTGTTTCACGAATCTGTTCCGCTAAGGTGGAGTCACACTTTTCCATGAGGTCAAAGTTGTCCAGGTAGACACGGTAGGAAGGGTTACTCCATGAAAAGGGTCGGTCCTTTCTATGTTCTGCCTCCCAACCAGCCCTTACACCTTTAGCCACACACTCCTTCACCGCCTCGCCTACGATGTTACGGTGTATATGTTGGGCTAGGGAGACAGAGTTGCAAAACCCCATAGGCAGTACCCGACTACACAGGAAGTAGTGCCCCTGGCCTCCCGGACAAAGAGCTTGTGGAACTCGGCGGCCAAAGGCCAGGAACCTGTGCCATTCCACTGGAACTGAGAAAATGTAAAAGAAACACCTCACATCTTCTGAGCTCACCATCAACGTTTGGTTCTCCCCAATCTCAAAGGGGTGCATCGACGGCCAGGCGGGTAGTGTACTAACATCGCCACTCATTGGTCGACAGATGCGATTCAAAGGGATCAGATTCATGATGAGTCGGTGAACAGGGGTAGTTCCATCCATCTCGTCCTTGGGGACCCCGAAAAAACCGTTGAACAATGGCTTGCCCTTGACCCTGTAGATCTGGTCCTCCCTGATCAGTCCACAGATCCCTTTGGTGAGGAGTCCTCTGCACAAGTCCTCCCGTTCACCATCAGGGACCATGACCCGTGGAGGTTTGGTGTGAACCTGGTCCACCTCGGGGATGAGATAGCTGTCAAAGTTAAGCACATAGTGTTGAGACCCTCGTGACACCACGCTCTCCAAAGGTACTGTGCCTACTTCTGCGGGAAGCGCACTTTTGAGATTCGACCAACTGGTCATCTGAGCCACTTTTACTTCATCACCCTTGTAGTCGATAGTTTTTACTCTCAGGTAGTCCTCCCAAGTCATCTCGGGAAGAGCCGGACATCTAAAAAGGAAATTCTTTGCCACTTCAATCAAAAACATGCAAACCTTTACCTGTGCTGCGCTCATCTTCGGATCGGGTGAGGCCTCGCACCCATAAACATGATTCAAACCACGAAGAAGCCCTTTCACGACTAAAGACAAACCGGAATCAACTTCAGGCAACGAAGGGTGGTTCACGAAACTGTCGAGGGGGAAGGGAAACAAATCCCCCGTGGACGAGACCTTGCAAAGCGACGAAAACGACAGCTCCCCAATCCACCCTTCCGCGCAGGCAGGCTTTTTCACATCCATCTCGGACGGTTGCTGGTTCGCCTCAGGTGGGTCGGCACCCCCAACTCCAAGGCCTGTACGATCGAAGGACCCAGGTTCATAGTCCACCACCTGAGCCGTTGGCATAGGCATCCTCTCGCATCCAAACTCGGCTGTGTCTTTGGGCATCTCTTTCCGAACTCTCCTCAACTCCTCTGAGACTTCTTCTTCTGTCAATCGCTCCTCTTCACTCACTTCTCCTGCTTGTCGCCACGTCCTCGGTTGCCACCTCCTTTGTTCTTGCCATCCTTCTCTTTGCCCTTGCCTTTCCCTTTTGAATCGCTCTTGCCCTTCATGTCGCTCGCGCCGCCTTTCCAGCTTGAACTGTCCCATTGACCTCGCTGGAACTGCTTGTTGCGAAGTTCCTCCTGACTCTCTTTTGCCGCGGCCCAAGACTCTGCCATCGTAGCCAGACTTCCCAGATCCTGGGGAACAACCTCGAAGCGCTGAGCCACTTGCCATGTTGCTCCTCCACTGATGCTTTCCAAGCTCTTCAATCTTTGGACTAGGATGTCCGCTGCGAGAGCGGGCTGGCACCCGATCAGGGCGTCCAAGGCTGCTGACACATTCAAGGCCTCCCTGCTCATCACCGGGCTCATACGCTGGCTGAGGATTTGCCTGTAGAATTGCAAGCCCACTGGTTGCATTTGCTTGCGCATCTGCCTGATGGCATGATAGGCCGGCCCCACTTTGGCCGCCAACTGCGTCCGGGCGCTCTCCTGAAAAAGGCCGTCCAGGTCGTCCTCTCCCAGCTCCCCCATGGATCCTTCTGAATCCGTGGAGCTGGAACCCTTGCTCTTCTTCTTGAGGGCCTTTCTGGCCAGCCGCGATACCTTCTTCCGTGTCTTGGGGTCCTGATCCAAGCCTGTACTGCCTTGACCTTGAAAGCTTTCCTCTTCTTCTTCTTGTGCCTTTTCTTCTTCTTATCGCTGCTCTCGCTCGATTCTCTGTCTTCTTCTTTGTCCTCTGGCACCGGAACCACTTCGGCCCCGGCTGGTGCTCCTCCTCCTGTCGCCCGGGCCGCTGCGTCGGATCGCTCTGCCAACCTCCTTAGCTCCTCCATGCCGCTGGCACCTTTCATGTTGTCGACCCAACCCGGATCTGAAGCACTCCTCCGCTGTACTTTCTTGAGGTGGATCAGGTCGTCTGCTTCGGGCGTCCCTGGACAATCGCTTGGACATAGGTGAAGACGAACTACAGGTCGACTTTGGCCTGAAAGCCATCTCACAAATCCCTCATCCTCAGTCCCACTGATTTGGGACAGGACTTCAAGAGCTCCTCCTTGGATCTGAAATGTCTCTGCCCCAGTACTTTCCCTCTCCCAGGAGTCGAAGTCCGGGGACTAGGACTCACACTGGGAGAGAACTGGCGTCAACTGTTCCTCCTTCTTCAAAGCCGGGAATCCTCTCTTCGGCTCCTGCTGGACGTCGACGAACTTCTCGCTCTTCTCTCTCACCTCCTCCTCGATCTCTGCCTCGCCTCAAAGCTGGTCGCCTGTCTCCCACGGCTGGCCTCCTGAGAGGCCGGGGAGGCATTTATCGTCCCTTCCTCTTTTCTTCCTTTCTCCAAGCGACGTACTCCTTGAAGATCTTTTGCGCTTCTTTCTTCTTCAACCCTTTGTTGGTGCCTGAATCCTCCTTGGGCGTGGCCTTGGAAGGTCTAGGCTTCAGAACAGGCTCGTTCCTTCCTCGTGGAAGTGGTCCTTTCCAGTGAGGAGGGGGCTGTGATGGCGATCTCGGTCTCCGGGGCTCTTCCAAGGTCACTGTAGGCCTGCTGGGCTTCGCCACGGGCGGACTGGAACCAGACCTCTCTTCTCTCCTGTCTCTTCTTCTCCTCCTTGACCTTGATCTTGACCGATGATGATGGCGCCTCTTCTTTGGAGCTTGACTGCCTTCTCTCTCCTCCTCCTGGGGGTCACGGCTGGGAGATTCGCTGATCACCTCCCTAACGCCGGTGTAATCCTCCTTCTTGTCGTCCACGGTGTAGTCCGGAGCTTCCTCTTCCTTCTTCACCTCAATCTCAGATCCTGGAGATGCCCTGCTACCTCGCTCACTTGGGGTGGATCGGCTCTTGGCTGCCACCGTTCGAAATGCCTCCTCTTGCTGCTCTTTGCTTCCCCCTTCACCCTCAAAGACTGGCCGAGTCCTCACCTCCTTGAATGCCTTGTCCTCCTTCTCCTCAACCTCTGGATGCCTCTTCTCCTCTGCCTTGCCACCTTCGGGGGTTGGAGCTCCTCTAGGTTCTTGTCCTGGTCGCCCCCGAGTCAAACCACCCCCTTCGGGAGGAGGGGGTGCCGACCCCTCCCTTTCCCTCAGAGGGTGGACGTCCAAGAAGTCCTGGATCTCGCCGAGCACGTTCCGCAGCTTGACGGTAGCGTACCCGACAAACAGGTCGGCCTCCTGCAGGCGAGTGCCTTCTCCGATGAGACGATGGAGCCGCCTCACCGAAGGGCACAACGTGCAGGAGCACGTCACCGCGTGCCCCCACATCCGCCAGCTGAAGCCAACGCTGCGGTATGACAGAGACTGAACGGTCCTAACGTCTTTAAATACGGGGACGAATTTACATATATGTATATATATATATATGTGTGTGTGTGTGTGACCAACACCTTTGGAATTGCGAAAGCCCAAGAAAAAGGAGGTAAGCAAAGTAGGTACATGTGGAACTTGTGGTGTTCGTGCCAAGTAGCGCTCGTGCTAAACATTCTTGCCTCTTAAGCCCACCTCTACTGGGTGATGACTTTCCAACATGACACAATTGACAACATAATTGACATAATGACGCAATACAAAGATCCATTTTAGGAGGTGTTTTCAAGCCAACACTGCGCCCGTGACCTTGAAAACTTTCTTCACCCGATCAACCCAACTCCTCATTGTATTCCTCACTCATCTTACTAGAGGCCTGCACAATGAAAGCAGTTCCTGCTAGCGCAAGTCTGCTTTGTGCAACTTTGATGCCCTCTTTGTGCAATTCAAGTTGTCGCCTTCTCCCACTTCTTCTCGGCCTGCTCAATTCGATCCATGACCTCAGAACAAGCAGAGTCACGACCTCAAAAGATCTCAAAAGCATGTTTGTACACTCACTTGGCCGTACGATGCCGTATCTGATCCATAAGCCATGTGCCGATGAACACATGCAACCTGCTTCCGTAAGGCTCATGCAGATTCGATCTTTTGTCGAAGGGCCTTAGTGTGTGAGTGACAGCTCAGGTTGAAAACTTATACGGAAAGGAAATAAAAGGAAATTAAAACTCATCTATATAATTTATGGGCAAGCTGCTTTCTTCTTTTTCAATTTCTGAGCGCGGCCTCGATAGTAGTTCAACACCGTAGCTTAAACCAACATAAACCAACAGACAAAATGCCACCAACTTGGAGCCCGCCTGACTCCGGAGACAGTTCCTCCATGTCCTCCGCTTCCTCTATCTTATGAGCTGCGGAACTTACAAAATCTTCGACTTTGGACTTGTCGCCCAGGATCTCACGCCTCAGCAGTTTGATGGGTCTACCGGATATCAACCAAGTCATGTGGCACATAGTGCAACATAGTGCAACATCATAAAATCATGTCGATGGACACATGGGGCACCACTAGTGCAACCATGTCGCTTGTAGGGCTCACTTTTGACCTCGGGCGCTCAATGCGGTTCTTGTTAAGCACTTGCTACATTTCTTGCCTTCGTAAGGGTGGAGCATTACTGGAAATGCGACACAGCAATCGTCTAGCTAAGCCGGTTGGTAAACTATACTAAAACTATCTAAAACTACAACTATATGGTATAGCAAAGCGACAGTCAGCCGCCCTGGCTCTCCCAAAGAGCCCCGGGTGACCAAGATCTGGTCAGTCACTTGCAAGGCTTCCAAAAAAGCTTTGTCATGCGATGCCACTAAAACCTCAGATCTGAATCTGGGCTGTGTGCCTAAGCCATGCTTGAATCTTTAAAAGCACGCAACCACAGCCCTTCTTTGTCACTGGCTGTGTTTCCTTCGTCTCACCTTGCACCACAGGCACCACTCCTTTGTGTTCACGCAAGCCAGCACATAATGACGCCACAGCAGCACCATCTAGGTGGTTGGTGGGCTCATCCTGACGAAGCTGGTAGGATCAGTGGGACACAAGTAGCAATGGGGTCTGGGTCCCCCCCTCTTCTCACCAGTTCACGGTTCCCAGTTCACTCCGAGCTGTCCAGCAAAAGGATGTCTGCAGGTCGGGTGGCAAAGACTGCAAGTGCCACTCGGGCTTTCCTTATGCAATGCTGCACCCATCTGGCTATGGCAACTTGTGATGCGTCAACTATTGAATATACATGACTATAACAAGGGGCTGTTGTGGATGCAAATGCCAACTTTGATACAATTTCAGCTTCAACAGTTTCCGCTGTCTGTGCTACCAAGAAGTCCGGCAGTCCATCAGGGTGCAAACAAGAGACTCTCCACCACTAAGTGTACCAATCTGGGCCTTGTGGCAGGCACCCCGGAGCCCGAGGGCACCCAACCTTGGGCGGCAATGCAGATTTGAGGCTCAACTGCATGAAACACCTATGGGTAGGTTCCAAAACCATGGGGAGAAACACGTTCCGAGACCCACACGCAGTTCGTGCCCCTTGGACATCTAGTGTGTAAGGCGCATCATCAGCCAGCACGTGGTCTATTGGGGTGATGTCACTCGGAAGGTCCTGCGCCCATCATCCTAAAACGTGTGTTCAGCAAGCTTATGTTCAGCCTTTTGAACTTATCTCGGCAAGGATTTTTCCTGTGCCAGCGCAAGGAGATGGGATAAGCTGGGCACGTAACAGTGCACAAGCAGCAATTAATCACCAACCGCATCCTGAACCGTCTCCTCCGACGTGTGTTTCTTTGTGTTTGCTTCCTCTACTCAACTGCCCTCCCAGGTCTCCTGAGCCAAGTCTTGGGTGAAAAATGCCACCCTCGCTTTGCGCAGGCCTCCAACTCCCAGGATCCGCGCACCGGCGCGCACCTCTTTCAATGCCACATGAAGGCACACAAACATCACAAGCATGGTTCCTTGCAAAATAACGGGCGTAGAAATCCAGTTCATCTAAATGAACTCATATCGCTTCGCAGTTTTGCCTCCAATTGCCCTGCCAAAGTCCGGAGCAAAGTGGTCTTTCCACATCCATTTGGTCCCAACAAAGCACACCGCTGCCCCGCTGCAAGGACCAGTTCCTGCAGAAATATATGTTTCACAGCCGGTTTAGTTCTTCAATGCGGGCTTATGTTAAATTGTTATTCAGGGTCAAGCACTATCATGGTGAGGGGGTGCCATTTGATGCGTGATGTCGTGAAGCGTTATATATATATATATCGATGTGATGTGTGGTCGGTGGTCATGTTGGCAAGCATGCTCTGGTGAGGTGATATCTGGGTGTGGTGCACAGTGTGTCCTGGTCTGAATTCGGCCGCTTGGGTCTTCCAGCCTGTGCTTGGGCTGCCCCTCCCTGAAAAAGGGGTTACTGCATACGCCTTATGGGGTGCAGTCCATTGCTCAATCTACAAACCTGAAGAGTAGCTAGCATCTGGAGATATCTGGAGCCCGCCTAAATCTTCCAAGGCCACTGCCCCGCTACCATTACAGTAAGAAAGGGACTGCCGCGTATGCCCCGTGCAGAGCAGGCTAGTAGTGGTTTTTCTGCGGAAGCAATGCTATACCCCTTGAGCCTTAAGGAAGCAGAATGCTTACAACTGCAACTGTGGAGAGGAAGTGTGCTACTAATTACAGCTCAAGAGCCCGCACAAAACAAAAGCTGCTCCCGCACCCTGAAATCTGCTTATTATCCGAGATTCCCAGCTTGCCATAGACAAACTGCTTTTACTCTGTTACTGACCCGACCACCAGGTGGCCCGAGGAGCAGAATGCATTTAAAGGTGCCTCTCCCGTAAGCCGATCGTGCAGAATGGCCCTCCTCTGTCTGGCTGGACTTTCCAAGTTCCAAACAATGACAGTTGCGAGAGTGATGTCCTCCACCCTGAGGACAGGCTCAGCAGCTTTGTAGCCAATGTCAGCGTCCTCATTGCAACCAAATCTAAGCTTTGACAACTGTATATACATGTATCAGATCACCTCGGCTGTAGACCTGATAGCCTTTCGTTCAAGGAGGAATCCTCACATACAAACTGTTGCTAGAAGAATGATAATTGCATATTTGCGACGGGTTGCATGGTCTATATGTGGCTAGCGCAAACACCCGGCTAAGAGCACTGTCACAAGGCATGCATGCACCGGACCAAACCGCAAAGCTGAGCAGATTCGACCCGACTCGATGCACAGTTGTCACAAGAGGAGGAATCAGCAACAAAAGGGTTCTATCCAAAGCCGTCAGGCACTGGATTCACTGACACTGTGGAAAGTATTTATGGTGCAATGTCGGTACCTGCACGGGTCACTGTGTGCTCTTGTGCTAGCGAACTAACCTGATGTTATCGCTTCTACACAACGTCCGCAAAATGTAGCTAAGTGAACATCTGGGGCTTACAACGGTCGCCCAAGGTTTGGTCAAAGCAACGCACTGCACAAAGAAGTGTGCCTTATGGAGTGCATGATCATTTGCCAGCAAGTACTTGCAGCATGTGTTCCTCCACAATCCTCCACAAAGCTGTGCCGCGCTGATTTCGCCAAGTGACTTTGAGCCGGAGAAGCTTCCCATCCAGCGGTGGTGAGACACTCAAAGGCCACTCCGGTAGCTGGAACTTCACCTTCCCAGGACCAGACAAAGGCAGCAAGCCATCAGTCAGATCATCTTCATCACCTGCATTGGCAGTTCAAGATTCCAGAGCCAAAGACATGATGTCTTTCTGGGGGAGCAGTCTGAGTGGAAGGGCAAACAGTGCAATCGCAAAAAGGTCTCAAAGCACCTTCCTCCTTCTTCTTTCCATCTAAAATGGCACTTGAAGGCAAGCCTCACAAAGGACAAAAGCTTCATCCCATGCAGCAGCTGAGAGACATTTGCATGTATATAACTACAACTCTGGTTTTCTGTCAGATTCGCAAGCAGCACCTCCGGCATTGATCTTCCAAAATAACATATCATGTTGATACATTGCCGCACCTCGTGTTTCTGCTCGGAGACCTTCTAATTGTGTCTGGGCTTTAGCAAGCTTCTTCATGCGAGATTGTGCCTACAGGCAGCTGTCTTAACTCTCAATCTCGTTGCAGATGCTCTTTGGCAAAGTGCGCAGGATCTTTTTTCTTTTTGTGCTTGTACTGATGCTATTTTACTATACGTTCCACCGCCGTCAGCGGTACCGCCAAGCGTCAAGTCAAAACAGCCTCACCCTCGAAAACCTGAGCAGTGCTGCAAACAAACATCTGCCAGCCTGCTTAGCATGGCTGGATTTTGCGCCAAACCTGCAACAGTTGAGAAACAAAAAATGACTGCAGGCCAGAATTATTAAGCATCCTTTGCGGCTTCCTTGACCTGCTGTGCTCGTGCATGAACATGTTGTCACGGGCCTTTTGACATATGCCTCATCATGAGCCATAGTGTTTTCAAGTTTTTCCATCTCCCTCTGCAATTTGGCCAATCTTGTCTTCCTTTTGTTCTCCCACTCCTCGGTGCCCAGTATCAAGTGATTGAGGAGCATCGGCAACTGAACATGTGCTGTCTTTCAGGGACATGAAAGAAAAAATGACAAACTAGGATAATTTTTGGAGTTGTTGACTATAGTTTAATGGTGCCCAAGGTTCAGAAATGCCCGAAACGTCGTAGCGCAAAACTCTCTTCTCCTTAATGTCACGTGGCATGTAGCTTGAAACAATCATGCTAATCTAGGCCCATATAGTGCTCCCTCATGATTTTTATTATTCAACCGCCTAAGATAGTGTCTGCACACTTTTTTTTTTTTGGGTCGATTAGTAAACCCCCCCAAAATAATGTTTGGGCCTTTCAAAAACTATTTACTGTAAAATATGTATAATTCCTATTGATTTCCTTTTGATTCCTATTGAATTCCTTTTGGACTCCCTCTGATTTGATACCTACTTGCCCGACTCAAGAAAATGCCGGGCTCACTGCGGCTTACAATTTGGCTCTCCATTCTGAGAAAGCAAGAAGAACCCTTACGTGCCACAACTGTGCACCGAAGCGCCGAGATCTCGAAGACCTGTGAGCATCTAAGCCCTTCGAGAAGCGTTCGGTCATGCGTGACCAGGAGCAAGGTGCCTCAGAGTCAACTTCACAAGCTAGTAAGGCACTTGTTTCTAATGGCTTCTTGTTACTACTAGTAAGGCACCTGTTACTACTAGCGTGGCACTTGTTACTGATAGCTACCAAAGGCTTTGCCCACTGTGCTCTTGAACTGCGTCCTAGGGACAGCATATTGAACAAATGTCAACCCTGTAGCAACTGGCTCAAGATTCAGTGAGTGATGTGCGAGTGATCCCACCCCTGGTGCAAGCAAAGCACTTGAAGATGACAGACCTGCAAAAAGCTGGGAAGACCAGCCAGTGAGGAAAAATCAATCGTACAGTAGCCACACTTGCAGCCACTTGTCACAGAGACGCAGGCCCTCGAAAGTAGCCGAGTCTACTCAGAACTCAAGAACAAAAAAAATATAGAATGACATTTCTCTTGGGGACAATCAACGGCAACAAGGGAGAGCTTTATTTTAGAGACTTCGGTCCAAATGATTTGCTCGACATCCCAAGGTATCGGCGTTTGCCTGGCCTCTGGCCAAGTAAGAGGTAAGCCACTTTTTAGCAGAGGTATCCATATGATTTGTTGGCTCATCCAAGAGGAGCAGCTGGGGTTCCTGCAGCAATACTTTGGCCAGGGCAACCTTGGAAAAGTGCAGCAAAAGTAAAAGCATTGATAGAATCTATAGCAGAATGACCACATATTCTATCTTGTGGGGCTACATGAGATCAAACTAAACTAAACTATATAACAAACAACCATAATTACAGTGAGAGGATTTTTGGGGGCCATGGACATTGAAGGGATGGACCTACACACACAAGCGGCGGGGATAAAGACACTCATGCAATTAGATAGCAAGGCCAAATGTATATTCGTGTAGGCAAGCATGATCGCTTGATGAAGCAGGTGATCATGTAGCTTTCCACGCTCATAATTGGCATAAGCCAGGTTTGTTGGGCTGCATGGTCAAACAATCAAACACACCTCTTGCTCTGGTCGACACCAAGATTGCTGGCGGGAAAACAACAAAATTGAGGTTCCATGATTCTGAACGTTTTGAAAACACTATACAATATTAATTGTCATAGTTAGTTGGATGTGATAGCTTTTTCTTTAGTTTCAGTTTGAGCATTAAACGATTAAATTACTCTCAAATTCTGTCGCAACCGAATGCTGAATCAATCTTCTAGCTCATTAGTCCACCATGCAGTGGCTTGACGGAAAGATGACATGATTTGCATGCGTGCCCGAGGTCCCTACACGCATCTGCCAACCTCCGCTCAGCTCTGAGCAGGGTTTCCTGAAATCCTTGGTCGGTGAAGGCAAAAAGCACAGAATAACCTTCTTCCACACACAAAAGAAATGTCTTGCCAATTTGACACCATCATTGTTGTCACAATCAATCAACAGCGCACGACGATAAGCAAATACATGCACACACCCCAAGCTTGCCGCACCATCCAGGCCAGCATCTGCCTTGGAGAAGCCCAAGCCTGCGAGAACTTCCTCCACCTTGCGTCTGATCTCAGCTCCGCCAGCGGCCTCGAACTCGGCAGTGGCCTACATCAACTAGAGCAAGTTCCTTTCGAGAAAGACTCGAAGCCTTTCAATGGCGATAAGCGTCAATCAACACAAGAATCAAAGGGCCTGTTCCAAAGCCTCAACGAGCTTCATGATATCCTCACTATCGTTTGCTGCCTCTAGCGCAGCCTGTGCATTTTCAAGGGCCTGTATGGTGGCACATGCCTCAGCTTGCTTTGGAGCGGGACCGAATGATAACACGAAAGAAGTGATCACATTTCTTGAATAATCGGGCGTATTATGTTGTTCCTAGCTCCAAGTGCCGCTTGTGCTATTACTAGCGATCATTTATGCGAATCAACAAACATGAAACCTTGGCGAGCATCCTTCATCTGCGATGTTGCTTCATCAAACACGGTCTTCTTGGATCCACTTATAGCTTCTTGTTGAAGCCAAGCAATGGATGCAGCATTCACATTCAAAAAGCCGCCTCTTCCAGTGTTCCAGGGCAACACAGGCAACATGTAACACGTGCGCAAAGGCAAAAGAACTCCAACTAGCTAGATGCAGTTAGCTGCTAGTTTGCAGCTTTGGGTGACGCGCCTCCTGACACTTCCCCAAATGCAAAGGCGACAAACCGCACATTAGATACAGTAGATGAGAACAACATTTTGCCTCTCTCGTTCTGTTCCCAGCACGTGTCTTATCTCGGCCTTCGACACTGTCTCGCGTGGCAATGGTGGTTAACAAAGTTGTCTTCCCACATCCATTTGGCCCAACTACCACAGCACGTGCACCAGCGGGAACTTCGAAGTCAACTTCTGAAAGAATCTCCTCAAACACTTTCAAGATCTTTCAGGAGAAAAACTGACTGCAAAAGAAACCTACTACGTGCTGCCAAGCAGAGTAGCTCGACAGTTTCATGCTCTCTGCCAGCCAACAACCATATCACACATTTAAAATATATAGTTATATACATATCATCTTATGTTGCATCGTTAATCGCAAGTGCAGCTGCAAGAGCTCTGAACAGTCTTAAACCGGTTGAGGAAAGTTGAGGGCTTGCTGTTGCAGGTCTTCACTGGCCCGAAGCCATGAAACAGCTTTCAATGCAAAGCACGAAGCAAATGATGACATGATTCCATGATTCATGATCAGCAACTCTCAACAGCATGTTGCCATGTGTTTCTTTCGAGAGGCATTCCCGGAAAAAATGGATCTCCTCGCCGGCCCTTCTCACAGTGGCTTCCTGCATCTCCACAATCGCGTGGCGAACCACCTCCAGCCGTGACAACACTTACAGAAGATAGAAGACACGTCTATTTACTGCGCTACCGCCTGCAAGGATCACACACACAAGGTGCGTGAAACATCCTGAAATGCCTCACGCATTGTCTGCTCTCAAACTCAATTATCTTGACCGTCTTCTTTTTCTTTTTTCTCTCTCTCTCTCTCTCTCCCAGCATGGCCATCCATGGTCGCCCTACAGACAGGGATGCCCTTACTTCAAAGGTTTTGACCACATGATGCGAGCTCCATTGAGTTTCGCAACGATTCTAGTTCTAGCCGCTAGCCAAAGGACCTGATGCCTGCGCAACGTCACAAATCACAAAGCCTTTTCCGTGTCGGTCTGCCTCAACTCGCCAGCCATGTCGTCGCTTCCGTGTGGCGAAAATCGTTGCAGGAAACGCGGCCTTCCATAGGAGGGAGCCTGACGACGCTCTTGACTTACCCTTCAAAACACAAAGAATGGAAACAAGCAAAAGCTTCCAGCGACTAAACTGCTACCCTCAGTCCTGCAGCCAAGCTAGCACCCTCCACCAGAATCTTCTGAGCCAGCTCTGCTCCACTTTGTCGGTGCCCTGGAAATCTGTATTTGTGGAAAGTGCTTTGGGCTGGTTTCTTTGAAGCATCTCTGAGGTGGTGCGTCCAGGAAGCATCCACTGAAGAATCGCAGTGGTTGAAACGAGCAAAGATAATAGTGGCAAACAATTTCACTCACAACCATATGCCACTCAATAAGACTGGACGCGTGGAGATCAAATAATATCTGATATCAAAACCATGCTGCAGGGCGGCGGAAGGCAGTTGCCCCCTCGTGGGCGGCCACAGCTGGTCTCAGCTGACTAGGGCCACAGCGCAGCTGCATGGCTTCGCATCTGCTATGCTGACTCTGCTGATTCGTGACATCGGTCTATCATTCCTGACTGTCGCTAATTAAACTCATCAACAGTGACCTACCAGCCTCTTGGGACAGTGTCCTGTCGTTGGTCTTCATCTGGAATGCTGCTGCACTTCCTTCGACTACCCAGAGTCCCTTCCAGGTCCAGGGATCCGGAATGTTCATGTACGGATCTGTATGTTGTATGTCCACAACCTCTTCCAGCATACTGTACTTGGAAGTTTTGGATTTCAGTCAAGCAAATTCGAACCTAAGCATCATAAAACCAGCCAAATCTAGTGTTGTTCAGAGGTCAGTACCATGCCACAGCCTCCATCTGACAAATACTCTGACAAGTATATACTGCCATGAAACTAGCTGCTGCGCGTGGCAACCTATAAGCTGTACCACTTGCCTGTCTGGCAAATGTCATGCAATCACATGCCATTAGGTTGGAGGCCATCGCTATTTGGTTGGAGGCTATCGGCTATCGCTATTAGAAACATAAAAAAAGGAACAGGAATCACATGCCATGCAATGCCCAGCTCCCCACGGATAGGATTGGTCGAACTTCACACACGCCTGAAAAATCGATACAAATCATCCAGTGTTGCTCGAATGTCGCTCCATCTTCTCGTTCCACGTTCCAACCCAACGTCGTTCAATGCACCTCCTCTCGTTCCATGCAAGGGCGCGGGCAATGATGCCTGGCATGCTGCATAGTGTCAGGAGTCCAAAGTCTTCCCCATTGTGACTGTCAGCCACCCTCTATGGGTGCATCTTACACACCTTTTGAGTTCCGCTCTCATGTAACCACTGCGATGCTCACTCCAAATGTGGACTGATGCATATTATCATATTGTGCTAGGCATCAGGCATCCCGAGGTTCCAAAAGTAGGCCTGCGGGAACCGGGAATGCAACGTGCGCCTATGCGTGCTCAAGTATCTCAAAATGTGCAACTAAAATGTACTGTGCCATTGGTGTTGGTTGCACTTGTGGACGCGGTCATGTCTGCACCCCTTCACTGTCATCAAAAGACTTCGTGTTAACTGGAATGCCGGTCATTGAATTGAAAAGAAATGAACAATTGTCGATTGTTACCTTGAACCTGAAGCCGGCCGCCCTAGGCCCTGACACTCTTTCACAAACATTGGTAGTGTCCAATCTCGGGGCACTTAACCTTGAACAGGCTTCACACTGGACAGCCAGGAGCCAAAACCACAAAAACACATGCGCTTGATTCACTTCTTGATGGTGCCCTTCAGCACAACGGTGCCCTCATCAAGGCCATACTTCTTCAAGACCTGTCATGGAGCATGTCAAACTCCTCAGTGGCGTCCTTGCCAGCAAACATCATGATGGATTTCTTGCCGCCAGGGTGCTCGCCTCACAAGTCACATATTGCATCATAATATGGGTTGTGCGGCCGGGACCAACAACCTGCCGGCTCGCATTGAGTATTGCCAAACCGCTTGGGGTGCACAAATGCCTTGAGTTTATATTACCTTGTGGGAACTGTCCGTCTATGGCAAGAAGTCTGCAACGAAGATCTGTTGGGGCAACACTTCTTGGTTGTGCAATGTGCAATCGTGGTGATTATGATTCGCACTGCCTCTTTGGCTTCTGTGAGTTCCTTCTGCTCAGGATCCAAGTTCTCTGAAGCAGCTAAAGAACATCAAAGAACTAGATTCCAGATCTTGCCCCATTTGTTCACATTACCCGAAACTTGGATGTCTGATTTGGTATTTCAGGAATCTAATGTTTTCAATATGCTTGCATAGGTAAGTACATATAAATATAATTATATATTATACATAACACCTTTAACAAATATCCGATTTAAGAAAGCTTCCTGACCTGTATCTCTCAAAACTAAAACAACTTCTTTGTTTCATGTGCTGCTGGAGTCGGAGTTCTAGGATCCTCTTAGTGCACGGAACGGTGCATACAGAACCCAAAAGCTCTGACCCAGTTCTTCAAAATAGCATTTCGCTGCAGCACATTATCTCATCAATTGAAAGCGCGGAAGATGTGGCTGGCCTCCCCGGCCTCCTGTGCATTTCAATCTTTATGGTTTAGGCGGTGAATCAGAACATATCAGAACGAGTTCTTCGATCCAAGCAATCACTGTTTGTACATGTATCTGTATCTATCAATACTAGGCGCGCTGGTGTTCTTTCGACTCAACATGCACTCATTTCCGATCCGGCACGCCACGAACACCATGAAGTGTTGCAACCGAGAGTGCCAGGATCTTTGCGCCACTCACGTGAGGCTCCAGGATCGGCACTGCTTGACGGGTCGGTCCTTTCGTTGCAGTGTCTTTGGCCTGGGCACTTGCTAGCGCCCATATCCCACAGTGGCCCCGCAGGCAAAACGCAGAGTTCCTTGAGGATGAGATAGGATGAGTAGGGCAACTCCTTCAGGCTTTGCTATGGCAAATGGGGCTGAGCAGGACGATACTGGCAACAGAACGAGCAAGCCTTGCAGCCCGAACAGCGGGACAAGCTTGGCTAGAAGGTCTGCAACAAAGAAGTCAAGTGCTAGCTTTGGTTCAATTTTTGTTTGTGGGATTTTCCCTCTTGGACTGTTCCATCCAGTCAGTAAGTAAGATGCAAAGAAGTAGAGGAGCAATTACTCGTATGCCTTCCTGGCATCACTGGTGAAGCACATGCAGGCCTCTTGCCTTGGTCAAGCACAACCAAATTTAAATGCCAAGTCTTGAGCCATCATCCTGGAGTGGGGCCAGCTTGACATGATCCTCAACCAGCTGAGACTGGAGGAAAGTACGAGAATCTGGTTACCTTTTGCTTGAGGAGGACGAGAAAGCACTCTTTGCTCAGGTCACTGGACAAACTAAAGAATAAGTTAGGGGACTGAAGGAGAGAAGCAAATCAGAATTCCTTAGCACAGGCCCGGTTGCTGATGGAGATTTGTGAAGTTCTTCATGATCTGAAATAGAACAAGACTTGAGGAGAAAATTGGGGGAATCACCTGGAGAGCAAGCTGGTGATCAGTGTGCAAGTGCCTCTATATTCATTCTGTCTCTGACACTTGTGCGCGCACGTGAGGGAAAGGTGAGGAGGGTCTTGAAAGTGTAGACAGTGAATTTGAGCACTGCTGCGAGCTTTGATGTCCAAGAGTTGCTTGAGAGGTGAGGGGCACAACCTTCTATAGGAAATCGCAATGGAAATCTAAACAAAGCACTTTCTCGGATCTTGTCTGATTTTGCCAAACGGCCTGGGTGAGCTTTCTTCACTTCTTGACCACTTGCTTCAATACCTAGACCTAGTTCTTCTCAGGTGAGGTGAGGAGCAAGCTCAACAAAAATGGTGTCGGGATGACTCCAATCACTAAGGTCAAAGAGACAAAAGCAGTGTTGGGAAGACCTACTTTGTCACACACATGCTTGTGACTGATGGTAAGGAAATCTCTTGCCGGCGATTGCCAACGCTTCTTACCCTCACAAAAACTTTAAACAATTATAACAGCACCATACGTTCATGGTCTGGGGAATTGGCAACAAGCAGCGGCAGCAACAGGCCTGTACATCACTGACAATAGCTCAAAACAGTTCTCCATTCTCCAGAGCTGAGCTTAGGGCTTATATAAATCAATAAGAGTCCGTGCTTTACTTGGCAAAACATATGCTGAATCTAAATCATTGTTAAAGTATGGTTCCATATCTTTCCCTACTAAATGTCCTTCTTATCCTTATCGTTCTTGGGAGGGCTACGTACTACTTCTACACTGACTCTTCCCTGATGTGCCGTCCTCGCATGTTTCCAATGCAAGCTGGCCCGAAGTTTGCTAAGGATCCCACTCAAGAAGTTTGTGACATCAAGCACTTGGTCACCAACAATCACCCAGCAATCATTGTCCTTGTTGTGCTTTGCCACCTCTTCAGCACTCACAGACATGCTGGCGCATGGTGAGGCCCACAAATGAAGAACCACAAAGTCAAAGGTTTGAGCCAGTTGTCTCCGGGCAGCTGCCTGTCTCAGTGCATTGGGCAAATTGGAAATGGAATTGAGGATTTTACATGTATTGACAGGGATTCAAGATTCAAAGTGCAGTCAGGGCTGACCATCGAGCAGTAAAGAGAAAGATGTAACCAAAAGCAACATGCCTAGATATGCCTGGAGAAAAGTGCCTTAAGTCCAAAAGCAAAGACTTCCAAAGAAATGTCACTTAAAGTCTACAAAACACCATCTAAATCACCCCAAAGAAGCAACGTCTAGAGAAGAGTCTTGTAAAGTTGCACATTTCTGGCGCTGGTGATGGAGTGCGACGCACGCTTCTACTTGCAGTGAAGCCATACACTGCTATCAGGCAGGTTGAAATTGTAAAATGTTGTAGCCATGTCCGTTGATGCTGCAGCCGTGATTGTAGCAGTCATGAGCCACTACAGTGAAATGTCTGAGAGGGTGAGGCACGACAACGGTTAAAATGAACATGATCATTTGGGAGTTTCCATTCTCCTGACCCAATGGCATTCACTTGACATGTGGAAAAAATGAGAAAGGTGAAATGAACGCCAGGTGACTTTTCGGCGCACATTCATTACACATGTGTAATTTAAAGGATGCATTTCTAGACGTGCAACTGCTTTTCCAGTGCGTTCATCGCTGATTTCAAGTATTGACAGGCTGCAAGAGGCTCAGGTAGGATGGAATGCCGACAAAAGCATTCATTTGAAAATTGTCTGATTGTTGTTGTATTGGAATTTTGCTTCCAAACAGGCTTTTGCGTGAAGCTTCTCACTCCGAAGATAGACCACGCAAAGCCAAGCTCATCCTAACTCCCCTTACTCCGGCTATTGGCAAACCAAAACAAACTCCCACCAGGCAATGTGGAGCTTGTGTAGCGCTGCAGCCTGCAAAAGGCATTGGCTACTCAAAATTAAATATCAGTGCATTTGTACAGGATTTGGTGTGGCATATCAGCAGGTTTGCAGTGACAAAGCTACTCGCCGCTTGATTACGCCTTTCAATGCAATAGTTCCCTCTCGAAGGCCATATTTCTTGATGATGCCCCGATGATGCACCAAGTCAAAAATTGTGGTGGCATCTGTCCCAGCACAGTTTAGAATTGCTTGCTTTCCACCTGGGTGCTGGGCGAGGTACTCCGTGCAGTCTAGAACGAGGTTTCCAACAATCACCCAGCAATCATCCTCGGGCTGGTGGGTGGCAACCTCCTCGGGCCGTATGGTAAATCTCAAGCAACTGGGTGGGCTGAGGCCAAAAGTTTGAGAGTTGCCCTGCCCCATGGCTCCCCTAAACCTTGAGCCAAGAGCGCCCAGGTGTGAAGGACAATATAACTATATATACGTATATACAGTATACACACACATATATATATATATAAAGATAGATAGATATAGACCACACGCTGATTTGGCTGATTGATAAGCAGCGAGTCCTGAGTCTGTGCCGATGCATACTTATGCCTCGCCTGGAAATCCCGGTAGTTGGACCTTGCAGGACAGTGCAGGAAGCTGGGTGTTGTCAGTGCTGTCCCTTTGTTCCTAGCAGCTTCTTGTTACTAGTAGTAAGGCAAGGAGCCCCTAGTAGCGTCCTTGCTCCTAGCAGCGATGCTCTTTGTTCCTAGTAGCGTCCTTGCTCCTTGGTGTCGCAAGTCGCTTTGCAAAACGTTTGGACATCGCTCTAGGGAACACCGCTAACCGCGGTCAAAGTTTTCGCAGCGCAAGAGTTCGTGCAACGACGAAAAGGTTGGCTCGTGCGCGTTGGGTGAGACAAAAGCGCTGAGTGGCATTCAAATCCACTTGGTTTCACTTGACAAACTGTTTCATGTCCATTGCACAAAGATAAATAGTAGGGAAATACTTGAACATCTCGTCACTGCTCAGCCAGAAAACACCATCATTTGCCGTCACAGGCTGGCAAGCTTCTCTGACTTCGGGGAACCGATCCCATCCATGGCCATTGTCGTCCCAAAGACTGGAGGTGCATTCACCTTGACCCCAAGGATTGCGCACTTTCACAAGGTCCTGCCCAGAGCCTGCAACGTTGCTCAAACAAGTGAGCAAGGTGTAAGCATGGCCATCTACGATGCCATTGAAGCTTTTTGAATTGGAACCCTGGCGAGTTCCCAATGCCATCATATAGTTCTGGGCATCCCACGCACACATACGCTGGAACATCTCCTTTGGGCCACACTTGAAGCCAATGGCACCTCCACCTCCTAGTTCTGGCCACTTCATGGGCCACATAACACTGCGGCATTTGTGGTAGGCGTTTTCTAACGGCTCCCATTCATTCTTGTTGGGGTTGAAGCTGCCAAAGCATTCATATCCGTGCCCCTCATTCGAGAAGGTATACTGGTACTTGCAGCCTGTCAGCATACGCCAGGCATGGGTGGGCTCACCCCCATTGATCTGGTCCCACCCGCCGCAGTGAATTGCCATGGCCTTCTCCAAATAGCATGCCCAAAGCTCTCCTTGGGAGCACGGGTGACAACCTAGAATTCCACTGCTGTCGGGTGACGTGCACAAACGCTCGTCAACCTCAACGTCCACTGGTTTCCAAGTCTTCATGTCATACAGAGTCACTGTGTATAGTTGTGGCTCATCAAGGGGCAGCCTCTCCAGGTAGGGAGTCTTCCGAAATACTTTCCGCACAGCACCGTGAAATTCTGATAAGGCACTTGCCGCGCAAAGCAACCAGCAATCTCCAACGCCACCCTGTGCAACATCATCTGGGTGGACGTCACCAATGAGCTTTATGTTGGGCAAATCACAAAGTCCTTGACCCCGCCCTGGGTGAAGTGGCTTCCCACAACGGTAGCCCCCATACGACATCTTGTCAGTGTATTGATCTGGTTCCAGAGAGATCTCATTGTAGGGCTTGAGAGCCCGATAATTGGCTTGAATAAAAGTAAAGTGAGCCTGGCCAGCCACAAACTGATATCCACTGCCGTTGCGGAGAACAAGATCATATCTCTGCTGGTCTTCAGGCCACCCCTTCATGTCAGTTTGGAATAAAATACCCAAGTACAACTGAGGATTCTTTTTCACTTTGTTGATTCCCTCCGAAATCGGCCCGGTCACCTTGTTGATTTTGGGTGGCTTCTTGTACGTGTACTGACCAGGGCCATTGAGAGCATCGAATTGCCACTTGTGTTGCTTGGCTTGGCTCCAGTCCACTGTCGCTGGCGCGGTCTTTAAAGCGCCAACGCTGCGGACAGCTTTGTTGGAGCTGTCTTTGGGCTTGCATGTGCTGCAGCCCAGGTCATCGAAAGCCGTGCTCAAATTTCCCATGCAAGAGCGGGACCCGCAATAAATCCAACCAAAATAAATCCGAGCCAAACGGGCTGCATAAAATCGCAACATCAGCGACAATCGTGCGGAGTATCCTCACACAAGCCCCCTTTAGGCCTACCTTGTGCTAGTTTCCAGTCCAATATGCGCAATTCTTTGTCAGGGTTGGGACGCATCTACTCCGAGCTGTCCTTCAACAAGCTGGGATGTGACATTGCACAACGCTAGTGGAAACCAAGCTGACGTCTCACGCCAGGAGGTTGCGAACGTTCAATTGTGATGGCAAGTGTTGCGCACTTGGTAGAGCTTTGCAAATGCAGCCAAAGAGGGTTGGGAAAGCTCTACAAAGTCGCTTGAGAGGATGCGATTGGAATCTTCGCCTGAGAGTGTTCACAGCTAGGCCTCATGCCCGACCACTCCAAGGGGAGTGAGGGATCAAAACATTGGCCTAAACTGTTTCTCACCGGCTGGTCTTTTCAGCACTCTGGGGCACCCAACAGTGTCAGGTACTCTGTCAGGTTTGTTGGGAAAGTTCACCCTAGGTCAGACCCACTTAAAGACTCTCTTAATTAAAGAGTATAGTCAACAGGCCCTCTCCTGTCAGCGGCTGCTCTTTCGAGGGGTTTGGATTGCAAAACTGCTTGGCAGGGCTGCGTGAGTGATGTGTTCGCTCTGATGAGCATTTGGAGGAAGTCTCAGCAAAAATGCTCGTTTAGCAGGCTTCACGCATCACTTTTGGAGGACGTCTTGTGCAAAAATGCTTGTATTTTCAAGACAGCGTCCTCCAAAAGGTGTCGCGCAAACGAGTGTCCAGCAAGAGTGTCCAATATTAGTGTCCCACAAGAATGTGTCCAGCAAGAGTGTCGCACACAAGTGTTAAACGTTGGCAGCCCTTTTAGAAGAATGTTCCACAAGAATGTCAAGCAAAAGTGTCGCACAAGTGTGTTCTAGAAGATCTAGAAGGGTGCCACCCCAGCATGTCCTTCCAGAGTGTCAAACAACGTTTGGCGTTTCCAAGCCGGTCATTGCGGCACTGGCATGAACCTGCTATCAACAACATTTGGCCGTTTCTGTTTGCGTGCGTGGGTGCATTCGGGGTCGTGGGCTCCATCTTGTGTCTTTTCCATTCTTTTCCACTGCGGTGTGTGAGTCTTTAAAAAAACATCTTAAAACGTGATAATTACGTGTGATATGTTCTCTTTGCAATCATATCCACGGCAACTTCTGAATCTGTACGCCGAGAGACGATCCAGCCTGTGGGTATCTGGTCATGTCTGGTTTATGCGTTGTCCTTTGCTTTCTGGGGAGCAGAATCTTTGTGAGGGTTGCTTCCCGACCTTTCAGAGGCAGTTGAGAAAGCTTGGGCATCGAATGTTCACAAGCCAATTGGGATGGGTGCAAAGGCATTGGGGCAATAGTGGGTGTCACTGAAAACGATCTCAATCTGTTAATTTAACTTAGACGGAAACGTTTCTTCTTTTAGTGTGTTTGAATGCCGCGCGCGCGCATGGTGAAACAAACTCACATCCACTTGTGTGCCTTTGTGGATTAATCGTTGCTTTGGAGGAAGAAGTGGCTCCTGGGTCCAAGTTTGCTTTTGGCTGTTAGCAGCATGATTCGCAGGCTTGATTTGGCATAGTGATAGCGTAGAGTGTGAAGGCTTTGGGTGTGAAATGCGGTCAGCCAACTCTTTCCCTCAGAAGTCAGGACTCTCTCTTTCGATAAGCGCAATGCAGTACCTTGTCCAACCTGCTGCTTCTCTGAGACTAGGCAGTGCCTGCTTCTCATGTTAGAGGTTCCCAAGGCTCGGGCTTGGTGGTAAGGCCCACGTAGTTTTCGGGATGTTTTGCGAAGCCATCAAGCATGGCCTTGCAAGTATGACAAGTATGACACACCTATGACGATTGAGGCAGAGGCAGTCTGCAAGATTGCTCAGGCACTGACGAACATCACCTGAACATGCACAAGTACTGCAAGTGCAACATGCCTTTGCTACCTTATCTTGTTTCAGGCGTGTCAAGCAAAACAGACTCGCCCTGTTCATGCCCTGAGACCCGTCCAACAACCGAGTTCACGTAACTACAGTAGGTGTCTGTTCCTGGCCGTTTTCCTGCATTGACCCTTCCAGCCCAGGACCAGCACAAAAGTCTCAAAATTATTCTTCCACACAGTTGCAGCAATCAATGCTAAAACAAGTGCTTTTCACTGTGCCTTTCTTGATCTTTTTGGTTTCAAAGTGTTATGAACCATGATGGCCTCTGAATGACACTTGGAGTCGACCTTGGGAGCATGGCCTCAGTTGTCAATCTGACTTGTCAGACTCCAGTGGTCCAATTCGTTTCATACCATTTGACGGCTTATAATCAGGAAGTATGTGTGATCCTTTCGGTTTTAAATGTATATATATATATATATGTGTGTGTGTTATGTGTGTGCGTGCGTGGTTCCAATGCTGGCATTGGAAGTGTTCCAAACCATGCACATGCCGCCCACGGCAAGAGGAGAATCTGCAAACTATCTCATGTCAAATCAACAACAGGATGCAAGAGTGTCCATCTATCTCGTCAAGGACGCTGAGAAATCCATTCAACCTTGGGATATCTATTTCCTGTCTATCTACTGGTGCTAGTGCTCATTGTTGAACGTGCGTGGGATCTACTAGGAAGCCCGCAATACCAAATAGCATGTTTGATCGTGTTTGGCAGGTTCAAGCGTCCTGGCTTCGTGCTAGTCTATCTATGTAGTATTACACACGACTGGTATCGGATGCGCAAAGAGGGCCAGCAGTGCCAACGAGTAGTATTGCTGGCATCTCACATGATTTTTGTCTGCACTTCTCACTATCTTCTGTCAAGTGTGCAGGTGTGCACCATACCTCCTAAGACACCTCACAAACCACAGGATTTGGGCATGCTTGAGGGGCTCACGTGGCATGCATGTGTTGCTGACGGATGATGCGGTCTAGTCAAACCTCAGCCCTACAGCAAAAACACAAACGACCAAGGCGTGCAATCGAAACCATTGATTCAGTGATCAAGCACAGCTTGCGGCATTGCCCAGCATCGTGCAGTCTGTGGAACAGTGCACTAGTTACAAGTAGGCCACACAAAAAGGAAAGGAGGAAGCCCAGAGGAAGTCCAAATCTAAGTTTGCAAGGAGCAAGGACGCTACTAGGGGCTCCTGGCCTTACTACTATCAAAGAAGCACTGCTGATGCTTCTTCAAGTGATGTTTCTTCACATCTATGGTATTCTAATGGATTCCCATCAGAATCCTTGTGAGGCCTATGAAAGCCTATGAAAGACCAATTATGGCCTAACAAAAACCAATAAAAAACTAACAAAATCCAATTTAGAAATCCTCCTGCCAAAGTGTTGCAACACACCCTCTCACCCACCCACATCCCTGCTCCCAAGGCAGCAAATCTTCAGCATGTGCAACATTTTTTCTTCACACCAAAGTGCTCTGATGGCAGTCAGTGAGCTTTGGCAACCGCTCACTAAGACAAATGGTGTTTGTATGACATCTTAAAAACAATGGTGTGCATTCATTGGTCTTCAAAACAACTGTCTGTGGCTGCTCTAGCCAAAATGAGGCCTCCCTCATAATAAAATTATCCAGCCAAAATGAGTGGACCTTCCAGGGACAAGGCAATGATTGCTTGAAAAAAACTAATGAAATGAAGTCTCATCTTCTTTGAACTCTTGTTACTGTGACATCTCAGGCTGTCCTCTTCGCACTCCTCATTATCTACATTATTTATTAGAAACTCCTTGAGTTTGGTAAGTCTTTTTTCATTAAAAAACACACAGACTCTGTCTTCTCAAAGTCTTCTTTTTTTACTTGCCAGTTGAGAGGGGCACAGAGGTGCCCTGAGCCTGGCTGATAGGCAAAGCAAAGCCCACCCAACCCACCCAACCCACACCCAAACCAGGCAAGGCCAAAAGCAGCCTTAACAGGTAGTCAGGGCACAATCAACCCTTCCCTGTGCAGCACCTGGTTGACATGCAGCTGCCTCTGGCCCAGAATGTTGCCACAACTTGCCAAACAACAAACAGCTCACCACACAGCAGCTGTTACACAGCACCCTCAGCCATAAGTAGCTTGGTTAGTTAGTAAGTAAGTAGATGACAGTTCCCATTGGCCAGCCACTGGGAGGGAAGGGAAGGACCTTCAAAGAAAGTGAGTAGAGTAGAGTAGATTAGCCATGTAGAATCAATTGTCAAGAAGAAGAAGAAGAAGGAAGGCTAGGCTCTTTTCCAAAGGGCTGGAGTGCCTCTCAGTCAGCAGTGCAGGTCTATTCAAATGTGTCCTATGACAGCTCCAAATGGCTCAAGAGAGTTCTCCTTTTTCAAAGGCCCTCTCTGAAGGATACACCTCCAAGCTTTAAATACCAACTCAGCGCTTTGTAAACCTCTTGGGCTCAGGTAGGCTATCAATTGTCTCAGCAAGGGCTTCAAATGTCTCATTGGGGACACTGCCTGGCACTTGTTCCTCCATCCCTGCTGGTAGTGGAAAGGCATCCCTGACCAAGTCCCACTTTTCCCAGCAATGCTGGTGGACCAGCCTTAAAGCATCCTTCCATGTTCTGACATGTGTAAATGATGCAGTCTTGGTCACAGACTGGTACTTTGTGCCTTGGAGAATGGGATGCTCTACAGAGTCCATATAGGAGAGGCCAATGACACAACCAGGGGGTGCCAATTTCCCAAGCACTTCCTCAGGGGATCTGTGAACCTTTGGAGCTGGGGTCCTTGGTGCTGAAGTCCCAGGCCCAGTTTGCCTTCCAGGGGCCTCTGCCATTGCTGGTGCCTTGGAAGATGATGATGCAGCATTGCTGCTCTCCATCTCCATTGTTGGCATTGCTTCTGAGAATGGCATTGGTTCAGCTTCCTGCCCCTTGTCTGGCATGGGTGCATCCTGTGCCCCCTGGTCTGGCATTGGCTCATCCTTTGCATCTGCCTTCTTGTCTGGCATTGGCTCATCATCCTCCTTGTGCATCTTCTTTCGGGCCATTTCCAGCAAAGTGTCCAAGAATTTTCTCTTTTTGCTCCCATCTGCATTGCCCTTTCCTTTTCCCTTTCCCCTTCCTGTGCCCCTTCCTCTGCCCGTACCTCTGCCCCTGCCTCTGCCTTTGCTTTTTGGGACAGGTGCACTGAGCTTTCTGTTGAGCCTTGCCTTCCTTCTCTTCTTCCTCAGGTCCCTGAGGTCCTGTTTCTTTGCTTCATCATTGCAGAGCTCACTGATGACCTCAGAAAACTCTGAGTCTATGTCATCATCCTTCTCAACCTCCTTTGCAGCCCTATTCTTCCAAGCATCTGCCACTTCCTCAGGTGCAAAGACCATCTTGAAGAGATGTTCCTCCACATCTTTCCTTGATGGGTTTCCTGGCATCTTATTTCCCCCCAGCAATTGGATGAGAGCTTTCATGTGGGCAACAGTGAGAGGGAGTCCTGCCAAGCATACTGCCATTTGCAAAGGCATGGGCCCCCCACTCCTTCTCCACCCAATGGGCCCTCGAGCAGTGTCCAGGAGGAATGGTTCACAGGGGACTGATGCCCAGTCAAGAAGGTCTGCGGCGTGCATCCACCGCAGCCTTCTCCTTTCTGGCTGCAAAGTGTAGCACTGCTGATCCCACAGTTTGCACTGTAATTTCCCACCCCAGAAAGGAGAACTGGCTAGATGCAATGACCTTGAGAAAGGTTCCTGTGGATTGCTGCGCAACAAAGCTGCCTGGAAGAGCAAGCACAGACATCCAAGCACTGTTGCACTGGACACCTTGCAAAGAATGGTCCTTGTGCTTCCAGTATTCTTGGAGCCACTTGCTTGCTGCTGTTGCTTGGAACAAGGACCCTGGACTGGGAGAAGGCCAGGGGTTCTGCCTTGATTGCGGAAGCATGAGGTTTTGGATGTCTTTTGGCAGTTTGTGACTTGAAGCCTTCATCTGAGAGCTCACAGCCTAGCACTTGCCTCTCTGAACTGGTGCATGTGCCTTGTCTGCTGGTGTGGCCTTCAGCACATCCATCTTCCTGCCCTCCAGGATTTTTGATGAAAGCACTTGGCTCATGATGGCAGTGTTGGCAAAGGTGTTTTGTTTGCTCGACCTGAGCACATCTTTGGCCTGCTGATGGGCAACTTCTATGAGCCTGCTGTCTCCTGGGTGCCTGGTCAAAACACTCAGCAAGTGATGTGCTTCGCTTCTGCCCTGAATTCCTTCCTGGCCATTTTGTCGATCCTGCTCAAAGGCCAGGTAGACCACCCTAGTCACAGGGTTGTGTCTGTAATGCATGTGCTGCAAAGGATCAGTTTTGGCTCCTTCCCTTGCAGCTGCTTCTGCTTCCAGAAGGGTTTCCCAATCCTTGCAGGCTTGGTTGCATGCTCTGATCACATCCTGCTGGTCAACTGAGAGCACATGGGCATAGCAAAGTGGAGGTGTTTCATGCATAGACACCAGGGATTGTGCTCTATGCTCGATGATTTTGTCCAGCAGGTCGATGTGCCAAGTCAAAGCTTGATCATGGCACTGGAACTTGGGCAGTAGATGTTGTAGGTTCCTCTCTTCCCACAGTGAATCTTCAAGGATGCCTTCAAGTTCCTGTGCCCAAAACTTTGATCCTGCACAAGAAATGTGATGTTGCTGGACTTGCATGGGCTGAGTCAATTCCCTGGCTCGAGATGCATGGAGCTTCCATGGTGTTTTGCCAACAGCCATGATGGAGTCCTTGATGGAGAGGCCCCTCTCTGTTATGAGGGTGGGAGCTAACTTCCAGTACTAGGAACAAGACGCTACTAGGGGCTCCTGAGAACAATTCTGGGGTTCTTGAATCAATGTGAGGGGTTCTTCAAGGAAGCCCCCAAAACAACCGAGCATCGAGTAGTGCTACGTATACCAGCAAATTACCTGACCCCTTACTTGTTAGCTACCTCCTCTTACTGTCCCCCGCCACAAAGGAAAGAACGAAACACTTGGAAGCCTGAAAACGTGCAACTTGTCCCTGCAAGATCTGCGTGCCGCACAGTGCTCGGCTTTGCTTCCCTCCCCGGCCTAAGGAACGATTGTGGCATGGCATGAGGGCAAAACCGGCAAACACGTAATACATACATACGTGGTGAAGCAATTAACATGCATACGTGTGACATGTGCATTATATACTGCATATTTTGATAGAAAAGGTGACAGTCTACTCAATCTAGGAAGCTACGCCATGCTCTTTCAACATCCTGAGGGTCCTGAAAAAACACTGCTGTTGGAAAGCAACCCTGCCCCTCTTCTCCACAGGGCTCCACGTGCAGGCACAATGCCAGGCACAATGAAAGGAGCCTCGGAGCTTTTCTTAGAGATCGGTTGGAATATGCCAGCTTCAGCAACGGCAAGGAGTCAAAAAGCCTGGAGAGGTATGCCACAACCATAACGATGAAATCAAGGTTGAGAACTCTCCCACATGTTTCGTGGTGTTTGCCCCAGTCTCGAGGCATCTTGAGGCCGCAACATAGAGGCCATGACCGTGCACCCCACGAAGCCGTTATGTGGAACGTTGTTCGACAGTGCAAGCGGCAGTGACCTTCTGCTGCGTAGTGTAGATTTAAGATGATTTAAGCCTCGGATACTACATTCTTTGAGGACTGCGCTGCCAACTAAACATAACATGTGATGTGAGTGGCATATTGGGCTGAATTGAATTGAGCCACTGCACATGTTAATGCCCGATCCCCAAGGTTCTAATGACCACTGGTATGCATCATACATATATATATATACACACGTACACATGTATACCTGCAACCTGAGCGCAATGCATCAAGCCTGCGAAGCTGGAAGCTTGATCAATGACAGCAACAAGTCACGCGACTGACACCAGTGTACACCACCGTGCTCGAGAAATCTCGATTAGCACTGGAGCTACAGTAAGTGATGTAATCATGACTGAATGTTCAGAGGTTTCATTGAAACTAACCCTCTTCCCAAAGAAATTGTATACTTGCTTCCTGCAACAGTACGCCTCACCACAGTATGAAAGACCTGACACATTTTTCAAACTGCACTGCTGGTGAGCCTGTGATGCAACCTGCCACAACGGCACATGCTGGGACAAGTGCGCCAAGCGAATCACATAAGGAGGCAGCAAGCGGACGTCAGCCTAAGTGGCAACACTTGCAGCGGAAACGCCTCCCAAC